CCAAAGCAAACCTCTGAACACAAGCACAGAACATGATTAAGAATCAAAGCCTAGAACAGCAGAACATATGTTTGGCTGCTTCTTGTATCTTTATAGAGGTCCAGCCAAATGTCTGAGTGCAAACACCCTTGAATATTTGTATGTTTTGCACAGTAGGCCAAAATATTCCTTCTTAATTCTATTAACCTCTTGCTGACTAAAACTTTGATGCAACTCTAGTAATTGTCATTTATTCTGTGGGGCAGAGAAGCCTGGTTTGACCCATATTCATGGCTAGTTCAGCCTTGTGTTCCTTCCCCAGATATCCCGATTGCTCCTTCAAATCAAGAAGACACCACTCTGCACAACTCAGTCCCTAAGACAGGCTCCCATAATGGCCAGTCCCTTAGACAAAACTCCGGGGATGCAGTAGGGTACAGACCCACCATGCTTACTTTGAAGGCCCAGGTGTAGTGGTTTCTGTTGCATGCCAATGGCCCATGGTTAGGTCTGGTGTAAATTTTTCTCTCAATCAGCAGTTTTACCTCTAGCAGTTAGAAATTGGATAGCATATGAGAAAATTACCTTAGCAAGGAGAAAAGCTGATCTTCATGATGAAAGACATATGAACGTATCTATCAAACATACAATGTACCCATACTCCTTCTGGCAGAAAAGTCAAATTTACCAGCAAATTCCACAGCCAGAGGTCTGACATCATTCAGGTACCAACAACAACCTGGACTTTTCCTCCATCCTTCTTATGTCCATGGGGGACTCTTCAAATTCAGCTGAAGGTTTCTGTCCTCCCAGTCTTTCAGCTTCCTTTGACACCACTCACCAGCCTATTGACATCCCGTACATGTCAAGACAAACTGTCAAACAAGTGATTTTTTGGCAATAAAAAAATAAATCAAGCTTCTGCACAGGTTGAGATATTCACTGTCTTCTCCTCCTTGAGAATGTTTCTGATAAACTCACTAAGTGAATTAATGAGGATCACACTTATATAGCATTCTTACACCATTCGTGCAAGACTAGGAACTACCTGAACTATTACAAATCATCTGCAATCTGTCCTGGCTAGTACTCCATGGATATGATACAGGAGATATCTTACCATATATTCCTTGCACACTCAAAATGGCAATGAAAAGATGAAACAAAAAATCTTGTTTAAAAGTTACTCCAGGAAATTTCAGCATGGAACATGTTAATCATGCTCATTAATCAGATCACAAATAAAATCAGCTCCCTTCCAAAGTGAGAACAGAAGAAAAATTAGGACAACATACATCTGTGAAAAAAGTTAGACTTTTTTTTATTCCAGGAGAACTCAACTAAAAGCTCCCTCAATTCAGGCACCTGGGTTTCATTTCATAATAGCTTCTGTCCATTGTTCCTTATTATCAGAGCTGACGATGTTCAAGCTAAGGCAGATCTTGTTCCTAAATTTATGTCTCTGTGTGTGACCGCTACAATATGTGTTTTGTATGCTTTTTCCTGAAAGCCTAATATAGTGATACCTGTGACACGGCTTGGACTCCCCCTTTCATGTATATTACCAACTCGAACTGCAACCTGCTGGTAGATTTTTCTTAAACTCTAAAATGAGGGTCTAACCTTCTCTTCTTTTTCTTTTTCTTCTCTGTTACCTATAATCTTGATTTGACTCACACAAAAGTGACACAGTGGGAAATCCACTCAAGAAGACTTTGACAACTAACAATGGAAACCTACCTACACGAAAGTTGACTGGTGGCGTTTATAGTGAAAAAATGTATTCAAGTTTAAAGATGTCATCTGTGTTAACTGATCCGTGTTGGTTTTGTGTGTTTTTGTCAAAAGAAATGTGCTGCGGAGTCACCTCTGCTAGAGTAAAGAAAACTAGCCAGAACAACATCGCCGCTAAAAAAAGAAAGGTATAGTCTGAAGAAAAAACATCCCCCCAAAATATTTAAGTTTTGGATAAATATGATTTTTAGGTTGGACCAAATCCAAAAGACTTACAGGAAACAGGGAAACCTGAGCACTTTAAAATGCAACTAATGTACATAATTATTTATACTCATACTCTTTTGCCTTCTCTGACATAAAAAAATATTGTTATTGCATGCAGCACATAAGATGTACTAAGTGTGTCTTATAGATTAAAATAAAATAGGATCACTGTAGCTTTTGTCGTAGTATCTACTGATTGTTTTGGCTTCAGTTTTAGAGTCAAAGGTAAGGCAGTTTACACTGACTCCTTTTCCTCTGGAATGAAAGGAATCCAGGGCTTGCTGCAAACCAGCCTTCCTCCTCAGATGGGATGCCCAAGGGAGCGGCCCTGCTGCTGCTTGTCCATGCTGGAGGATGAAAAATTGGATATCAGACAGCAATCTGCACTTGCAGCCCAGAAAGTAAATTGTATCCTAGACCTGAGTGATATCCGCTCTGAGTGCTAATTTGTATTGACTTAAAAATTTAAAGAGGATAGGGAAAAGATAAAGATAATCTCCTAAAAGAAAAGAATTTCATGTGAAGCCACTTTGTTCAGTGGTTTTTCAGTAATCCAAATTCTTTGTCACTTCTCACAAAGGGAAGAAGTTTACAAAAGCAAGCCACTTGGCTGCTTGAGCAAAATTCATGCAGTGAACAGGGAAATAAGGCACATCGTTGGTGCAATGAGGAGAACCCCAGAGAATGCAGTGGGAAGCTAATACATTGGAACGGGTGACTGAAGAGGGAATGTCACCTCCTGCCGCTGTGACAACACTGTATCTGATGTGCGGGCTCTGAGCATGCTTATTATGGTAAGAACTGTGCAAGTCAGCACGCCTCATGACTGCGTCTTTTTTACAGCCATTTTAGAGCCAGGTAAACTGAGGGACTTCAATGCACATCGCAGGCTGACAGGAATGTAATTTGGGCATCTTGCTTCACGTTTGCTTGTTTCAGCCATTGCCAAGCATTTTCTTGTATGCTGTTTTGTCCACAGTACGTCCTGACCACGCAGACCCTCCTCCTTGGCCCACACAAGGGCTATGGCCTGGCCACAGCTCCTGTGTCACCTGCCCGATGCCTCCTGCAGCCTTGCTGCCAGAGAAGCCTCAGCATCCAGGAGATGAAAGCCACCTAAATTCTGCAACTGGAAACCCCCCAAAGTTCTGCACTTAAACAAAACAAAACAAAGCAAAAAAACACCTTTTAATTCTTCTTTTGACAGGATCTGTTCAAGTGCAGATGGGGGTTCTTGCGTCTCAGTCTGTCATCGGGCAGTCAGGGTAATTGACCCCGTGATACCTGCCCAGAGGAAGAGACAATGTTTGAAATTCCTGCTAGAAACAATTATGTACTTGACCTTAAAGAATAGGTCTCTCTGCTTTTATTTTTTTTAGTAGGGCATAAAAAAATATATATATAAAACAGAAAGGCTCCCGACTCTTTGAAGGTCCTGTTTGTGCTGAAACAAGCTGTGAATTGGTAATTGGCCTCTAGAGCCCAGGGGATGGAGGCTGAGGCCGCATGAAGCACGTGGCACTGCTGTCATGCTCCCCCACTTCTTCTGCCCCGTCTGCGGGGCCTCAGCTCTGTCCTGCTCTCAGCATCCTCCCGTCCTCGCCAGGCGTCCCTCAGCCTCAGCCCAGCTGGGCTCCCATCGCTCTGGTCTGGAGAAGAGGGCACACAGGAAAATGGTGCCTGTAGAGATGTCAGTCTGCAGGGAAAGCACTCACAGTGTAGCCTCCCCATGAACACGGCTTCTTTCACAAAGGTAGAGTAGGCGCCTGGCACCATGAATAGCCCTAAACAGTTGCAAAAGAGCAAATGTGCAAACACGGAGCTGTCTGCTAGTCAGCACCATTAACTGCTTCCTGTTAAACTGGTAGCTGAAATGATGCAAAGTCTCCCTGTGCTTAACTTGCTGCAGGACACAGGCAGGGGGTGAGGACAAGAGGCCCTGCGTTCCCTGCCCTGCAGGGTCAGAGCTGACCACACGACAGCAGCTGCCCAACATAGGCCCAAAAACAGCTCAACTTCTGGGCATCGCTGCTGGGAGCTCCCTGCTCGGTGGGTAGGGTGGCTTAGGGCAACGCAGGGCCAGAGAAGGAGGACAAGCCTCGGAAAATGAGATGACATCCATGCTGGAAGTAATTTCCCTGCAGGACACACTTGTCACCTTTCGCGTGCTGCTCTGGAGGGCATTGCCTTTCACCCAGGCAGGGTGGCTCTCCTGAAATGGAGGAGGAGGAGGAGGCCCGACAGCTGCCAAGGGAAGTCTGAAGCTGCTGGCTGAGAACCTGCTCAGGTTTTCTGGCTGGGACGCTGCTGCCACTGCCCTGGTTTGGAGGCAGGCAGCGGGGCAATCCCTGCACGCTGACACTCTGGGCAGGTGGGAAGTTTCCCTCCTCCTCTACAGCAACATCACCGCAGCAGAAGCATGTGCGGCCCAGCCATTGCACTCATCCCTTCTGCTCTCGTAACCACATGCAGACCTCCATTAGATCTTCAGCAAGACCACGAGCATTTCACAGGCAGGTGAGAAGACACTGGCTGGTACTGGCAGCCTCCCCACAGCCTCTGTGGAAGGGAAAGCTCCCTGTGAGCCTGGCAGTAGTGCACAGCAGCACCCGTTTGGTCGTGCTACTCCTCCTGCCTCTCCCTGGGGGCACAACTGTGGCCCTGCACGGAGAGTGGGATTCAGCCCTGCTGCTCCCGAGGAGCTCAAACCATTAGAAGAAGAATTAAGCCTCACCAATGTCTGTGCTTTAAAATCAAAACAGGAATAACAAAAAGACCAGTCAGGTTAATTACACTAGAGCAGGGAGGAATCTCTAAGATGTAAATACATTGCCATGAACATTAAAAGCAAACTCCTCTCTAAAGTGTTTTTCTTTCACAAGCAAGCAAGAAAACGCACTGGATAAAACAAACTTTGCTTATTTTAGTTTCGACTCAATTACCTGTTAATGGAAAAAATCTGGCACCACTAATAATGAGGCAGGAATGAGATCACTGTTCTGGAGGCCTGGCTTGTCAGGGAAGCTTGCAACAAGAAGTGCATTTATCTGCCTTTCTATAACCCTTTTCAAGCACTCTGTCAGGGAGCCCAAACTGAACAGCCAGTTTAGGAGGAACTTGGAACCCGCTCCAGGCCCCCTAGGCCCTCTGGGAAAAGGAAAATTATTGTTGGCAAGTCTGCCTGGCTCCAGAAGTTGATCCAGTGCCCCCCACTTGCCCATGCAGCAGCAGACAGAGCTAAGAATTTTGTTATAATTAAATAACAGAGTGCTGATTGGTTGCTGGAGGTGGTCTTGAAACTGGTGTTTAAGGCAGTGGAGAACAACGGTTACTATTCATAGAAAAAGCAGAGTCTTAAAATCCATCTGTTTCTTTCCAAATTTAGGCCAAAAAAATGCTCACTCACTGTCTTTAAAAATACCACCTGCTTAGCTATTTTGTATAATGTGCCATTATATAAGTTTGAAGGAGGAGCAGGCAGGGAGGCAGCGGGGGCTGGGAGAGGGGAACAGATTAAAAAGATATAGTTAGATCCAAAAATACCCCAGCAGCATATTCAAAAGGGAACACAAAATAAAGGAGCAAAGGAGAGGTTTTCTGAGGAAGATTAAAACTGGAGTGTTTACTAACGCCTGGGAACCAGCTACTACAAATGAGCTTGTTTGCAAGTAAGAAAACAATATTTTTTCTCTTCTTCTTCTTTTTTTTTTTAAAAAAAAAAAAAGAAAAAAAGAAAAAGCCATTTTGCTACATGGACACAACTCTGTTGTTACCATTACAGGGCCATGGAAACACCTCGAGCCCTTCTTACCCTGCAGACTTTTCCAGGGACATCGCAGCCTGCCCAGCCAGAACTCCAGCCAGCAAGGACCTCCTGAATGGCACCGTGCTTCTCGGGGAACATGTGTAAGCAATGAGTGTGAAGCAAGGATACGAGGAGCTGGTAACATCATTGCTTCTATTTTTCCAGAGCGGCTTTGCTCTGTGAGCAGTAACATTAGCAAGGCCTGGTGTCCTGCAGATGTGCCTCCTATCTCCCCATTGTCCTTCCCCTCCCCTCACTTTCCCACTGCAATCTTACATAATATCGCATCTTCCAGCTGCAGTATTTCCAGTTTTCCCTATACCCTTAACTCTCTCCCATGTCCCTTGTTCCCTCCAGCACCCCAACACTCTCCATGTCTCCTAATCTTCTTGGCCTGCCAGCTGGGCAGGAGAGCGCAGATGCTGGTCCAGAAGTAGACGTGTGATAATTAGCCATCTGGACGCTGCCAGAGAGAATGGATAACAGCTGAGCTCTCCCTGCCTGTTCTTCAGCAGTGGATCTGGAAAGCCTCTCTTCTCAGTGCCGGCAGAGATTTCCCTGGAACTCACAGGGACTTTATCATCTCCCAGAGTTTGACTGCTTCTGTCAAATCTGGTTCAAAATGCCAGAGGATTCAAGAGTTACCAGGCGAGGGTCAAACAGATGGACAGACAGCATGACTTCATGATCTCCACCACCTTAGAGGTCCAGGCTAGCACCTCCGATTAATTAAATGCAACTCCAACCTCAGAAAAAGCACAACTCCTCAAACATGGGTGCAAGCGATTAGTCGATATTTTAAATTGATCCCTGGAGAAAATCAGTTCAGTGGCTGGCAGAGTCCTGCCCTCTGAGAGTCATAAAATGGGCTGGTGACATTATTAACAATGACGGGCTGCTGGGATGGATTCAGTTGTAGCTGGTCTGCCTTAGAAGTCTCAAGATGTTTTCCAAGAACATCTAAAAATGAATGCCAAAATACCTGTCCACCCTTTTCATTATCCAGCAATTGCTACAATCGCTGTGCATGTTGGCATATTCAAGGCTCCGAGAGTTTTCTCCTTCCTACCACAGACCATGGAAGCTCTCAGCGTTTGTCGAGTTCTGAGTCTGCTCTTCAGCTGCAGCGTCTCCCAACACAGCATCCAAAGTCTTTATGCAGACTCTTAGGTGGTAAAGCATCCCTAGGTGTATGCAGGACACAGCTGTCTGGTGCTGTCACGTGCATTCATTTTTGTTATTGCTTGCTTTCGTGATTGTTGCAATGGCCCATGCAGCTATTTTACTGTGAATTCTCCTTACATCTTTTTTCCGCCTAATGAAATGAATAGGTCTCTGTAGATTGCTCTTTTTTTCCCTTTCCTTTTTTTTTTTTCTTTCTTTCTTTCCTTTAAGCAAAGCTTAAAACCATGTGGCACTGGTTTATTGAGTCAGCAATTGCTCAAACTTTTTAAAATTCCATGCACTAAGTGAAAAATGAGATTTACAAAGCTAATGGAAAATAAATGTCTCCCAAACATGAAATACATTGACTTGCTTCCTTGCCTTATCCCATAAAAACAGATGGAAGCAATAGCTCCAGTGAATTACCTACTGTACGCAGGGCCCCATGCTGTCCTGTGGCAGCTCGTGCAAGGACAGAGAGTGCCAGCTTGCCACTGAGCTGCTCTGGAGGCTGCTGGGGGTCTGGGGGCAGCGGGGTGATGGGGCCATGTCCCTGCAGCCAGCCCTGGCCCCACTCTGTCCCAGGAGCCCTAACCCAGCTTGGGTGCAGGGGAATTTGGAGGCAATTCTGGAGGCATACGGCCCTCGAGGGACACAGCCAAGGCACAACCTGCTGGAAACCCAACTGGTTCCTTTCCCAAGAACATGCACTTGTTTTCCACACACAAGGGCTCCCAGCGTGAGTTACCCACCAACCCACGAGCTCTGCTCAGTGCATCTTTCGACCAAGTGCCTCTCGCTGCACGTGCAGACGGAAAACCGATTTGTCCAGGAACGATGTTTTTGGTTTCTGCTTTCCAAAGGCTAGCTAATAAAGCAGTGAGCAAAGAACACACCGTTTTGCTGAACACATGAATCATACCTTGATGGTGTCTCCTTTGAATCCTGGTATTCAAAGATCTCCCTGGAGCGCTATGTTTTACGTTAGAAGAGAGCAGTTATCCCCAGCAGAGACACAGCACATGTGTCTGGCTGATGGATGGCCATGTTCTAGGGAGAGTCAAAACGTTTAGGAGAAGAAAAAAAATATTCCCCAGAAACCTTAAGTAGTGGGAGAGTAATTTGAGCATCGTGTTCAATTTCCTGGCTACCAAGAACAGCAAGATTTAGCATCCTCCTCATTTCCGAATGTACGAGGGCTTTCCAGCGACATCCTTTACCTCATGGCAGCCCCGTTGCCCCTGCACCGCGTGTGAGCCCTGAGCGGCGGGCGGGGGGGACCCTGGGACCTCCTGCAGGTTTATGTACATGCTGCTGGCTTTGGAGACTAGTCCTTAAAAATAATAATAATAAAGACTTGCTGGAATTTAAAGTACTAAGTATTCTGTTTAAGCATGAAGTACTTTACCTGGTACGTCCTTGCCCCTCCTGCTAGGTACAATCACTCTGTGTCCAGTTTTGGTTTCACCAGTGGAGCCAAAGCACCAGCATCCAAGTGGCTCCCCTCTCCTCTGCCTCAGGAAGATCTGACCAGCTTCCCTCTGCCCATCAGGAGCACCCAGCCACAGCACCCAGCCCCTGCAGCTGCTCTGGGAACAGAGGGTGAAGGGTCTCAGCACCGGGACATGGCCTGACATGGCCCCGCTCCCAGGTCCTTGCAGAAAATCGCTTCACTGCCCATATTATGGAGTGCCTCCCTTTGCCCATATGAGGAGGGATACTTACCCTTCCCGCAGAGCTCATCAAGACCGGCTGAAGAAAAGCAACACTACAAGAGCAACACTCGAGCGCGGCGGCACAGCGTGCCTGTTGGCAGACTTTTGCATTCAGTTGCCCTTGAGTGCCACTGTAGAAATTACTACGGCTGAGATTTTCCATGACTGGGGGCCATGGTGACATCCACTTGTGAGAGATTCCTGGAAATCATGAAGCCAAAGTCCCCAATCCAAAAAAAAAAAAAAAAAAAAAGACAACAAAAACAACCAAGCAAACCAACCGTTTTATAACATGCTCAGAGGCATGTGTGCTCACTCTCATTGTGCAGCATCTGTGGGCACTACTGCGTTTGGGGGATGCTGCGTGGTTTGGGGGTTGCTGGCTGTTCAGTGTTGAGAGCAAGCTGTGCTGCAAGAGCTCATTGCATAAGAAAAAATAAATGCAGAAATGTGCACAGATCTGTCCAGGAGGACATATCCTCAAACCCTGAGACCAGCACAAGGACTCTGACTGGTCAGGGTTACCTAAGCTTTCCTGCCTGACCTTTGTAGTGCACCAGCCCTGCTGTGGGATCACCAGGCTTTCCTTAAAATACAAGTTCTCATCAGCCCTTGTCCCCTGTCCCCTAGTCAGGGTCAGGGCAGGAGGACATCACTTTAGCTCACATGCTCTTTGCCTTTTGCCAAATTGTGTGCAATTTGCTTGAAATAAAAGTCATTTTCAACTGCTGCTGCTCATGCGAAAGCTTGCTGAGCAGGGAGAGGGCTCGTGCAATGTGGATTTACGGGTGCTCGGCTGCAGCGAGGCAGCAGCAGGACAAGTCGAGAGAGGCAGAGCAGTTCGTGCAAGCGGAGCTGAGCTGCCAGGGAGTCACCACAGCTTTCGCAGCAGCTTTTCAAGGGAATTTTCCACTCGGGCTGTCAATTGTTTTGGCCCGAATAAAATGCAGTCAACGCATAAATGAGTTGACAAGTCGTTCTCTGCACATACTAAGTTGCTTTTATTAATCCAGAACTGCATGCTACAGATACTGTACAGCATGAACATTTATTCATTACAAAAAATGGCTTCCAAACCATTAAAAATGAAAATCGGAATAAGAGCATAAAACGGAACAGTAACATCACAACTGTTAGGAAACATTCAAAGTATTCACAAAAAATGTTATAGTTAGCATCTTAATAAACCAGAGAAAAATCTGAGACAGTTTTACAATCGCTTCATGTCAACTACAATGGCACTGAATGAACAGATGAACAATTTTTCAGCTTTATACAGCGTTTTTTGCAACATCAACATGCCTAGTTTTTTTTTTTGTTTTAAGTTTGCTACCTACCTGTATGTAGTAAGTGTACATAAAAGTGGCAGTCTGATTTTCCTTTTATGAATAATCTAATATACAGAATTTGGCCCTTAAGGGTTTATACCTCTTCATTTTAAATGCTTTCCGGACAATCTGCTACCAAACACGTCTGTTATAGGTGACATTAAAACTACATACATATCTACCTATGTAACATCACAGCAAAACATGATGAACAAAAAAATTACAGCATTAAAAAAAATAATAAAGTTGTCGGGAGAAAGTTAAAAGTCACTGAGAATTTTGGCACATAAAAATTTTGCACACAGCCTACAGTCCTAATGGCGCAGGGGATCCAGCTGCAGTTCTGAACGGGAGACACTTGGACCTTGCTATTTTTCAAACAGCGTTGCTAAAAATTCCCTTGCTAAATTTTCAAGTCTTTTCACGTGTAATGGCTTTTAAAGCAATTTTTTTTTTACACTATTGATCCTTGAAAAATGCATCTGCAAATGTCCATTTGGTGGCAACTGTGTTTCATACAGAAAAAAAAAAAAAACAAAAATCACGAAAGGAAATCAAAAAAACAAAATTCCCAGAAAAAATATATATATACACATTTATATATAAACTTAAAAACCTTGTACAAATGAGTTGTTATATATAAGATGCTTACACTAAGGGAAAAAAACTTTATACAATGTTTTGAGAAAAAAAAAAAAGAGGAAAAAAACATTTAAAAAGGGACAACATACAGATACAACAAGCAATTTCTAAAGCAATAAATACTACTGGTCCAATAGCGTTGTGATACTTTTAATTGTTGAGTAGCGTTCCCTCCCCCAAAAAGAACAACACCATGGAACAAGGTATATTAACACATTTTTTTTTAACCCTTTGTTTCTGTACATTTAAACAATAACAAGTAACATCACAATAAAGGTTGTTTCACACGAGGAAGAAAAAAAAAAGAAGTAGTAGCGGCACTGCATTCACTGTGCCCTTAAAGGTTTAAAAACCAGATGTAAAATGATTGGTTCGCAAGCTCGTATTTAATACAAATAATAAAGAACCAATGCCTCCGGCAAGGGCTGCTTCAAAATTGCTTCTTTTTTTTTTTTTTTTTTAAATTTTTAAAATCAGTCTTTAAAACTAAGCTATTGGAACTACATAACAATTATGTATATATATATATTTTTTAAACGCTACAAAGACTTTAAACAGCTGTTGATAAAAATTTTGGCAGAATCATGAGGCTTTTCTCATCTACATATTTAAAAAGGAGAAATTGAAATAAGAATGGGTCAAATATTGACCAATGAACTCGATAAAACATCAACTAATGTAGCCACGTGGCACGAACTGGAAATGAAACCGAGAAACGACGACGAACGGTGGAGACAACGACGAGGAGGAGAAGGAAAGCAAAAAAAAAAAAAAAAAAGAGAAAAAAATGGAAAGAAAAAAAAAAAAAAAGAATTCCCAACAGAATCCAACCCCCCCGAAGGAAACCGAAAGGGCGACAGAGGCTAAAGCTATTCTAAGGACTTGGTTACGAGGGAGAGCGGCTGGGGCTGCGGCCCTGGCAGCGAGCTGTGGGGGTGCAGGGAGGAGGTGGAGGGCTGCGCGAGGGGGGCGGCCGGCGGGAGGGCGGCCGGCGCGTGGTCCAGGGCCCCGTTGGGGCAGCTGGCGGCAGGCAGGGCGCCGGGCTTGCTCGCAGCGCTCTCGGCGAGGACGAGCGAGGATGGCGGCGGCATCATGACCAGGTGCGCCAGCGGATCGGGCTTCAAGGAGAGCGAGAGGGGTTGCGTTTGTTCAGTCTGTGGTTTCGAGTCTCTGGAGGGGGAGGCGAGCATGGCGGGGGAGGACGGAGGAGAGTCTAGTAAGCTTCCATCTGAAGAGGGTGGGCTGACGCAGCTGCCTTCACCTTGTATGTAGCGAACGCACTTTTTTTTTCTCCTAGAAACAGGGAGAGAGCGCTCTGTGAGTGAAGGGCAGGGATGCAGACGGAGACAGTTTGCTAGAGCAAAGAGCCACCAGGCAGCTCGTGGGGCTCTGAGCGCCTGCGCCCCAGCCCTACGTGCCGTCCTGGGGGGCTGCCGGGGCGTCCTTGGCACCCCATCCGCTCGGGGACCCCCTGGGCTAACCATCTGCTGAGGGATCGCCCAGTGCCTCTTCGTCCCCCTCCTCTGCAGGCCGCCTCCTTTCCCTGCTTATTTACTTTCAGGCTAATAAAATTGGGTATGGGGTTTCTGAGCCCACTGTGCTGATCTATAGACTCTACTTTCCTCACGAAAAAAATAAAATAATAATATTTATGTATATATCCTTAGAAAATAAGAACTCTGGGTGTGTTGATCGTCCCCCAGCGCTGTCCACCTCAGCGGGGCTATCTCTACACCTGCGTCACCTGGCGTCTCTTACGGTGCTCTGCCCCGGGAGGCAAGGCCGGCTGCAAACTACTGCTCATTGCTTTCTCCTCTGTTAGGAACCACACCAAATCCAGAAACGTCAGAGTCAGACAGGAGGAGTATATAATAGAGAGAACGAGAGAGGGGAAATAAAAACAAAACGAACAAACAAAACGAACAGAAGAAGAAAGAAAAAAACAAAACCAAAAACAAAACAGAAAAAGAACAGGATAAATAGAGTATGATCCAAAATAACAAGAATAACTGGTTGTATGGCCTGCAGGTTGTGGCTTTAAATTGACTCAGTTTTACTTTTTGTTTCAAGGGAGAGTGGTAGATTTGGGAAGCTGCTTGTCTGCGTTTTGGGGAATTTTCCTCTGAGAGGCCATCCATGGAGCTTCAGAGTGGGATCCAATTTCAGTAGGTGAAGAGCACGACGATAGGCACAAGGATGAGGAGCAACATGGCACTTATTTCATACCGGGAAATACGAGCCTCGTAAGAGCTGTTCATCTTCAAATAAATGAGTAAGTGACCCGACAGAGATCTTTTCTCCTCCCTCTGTCCACTTAACAATGTAAAGGAGCAATGAAAACAGATGACAGTTTCACACCATCTCTCTTGCCAAGTGTATGCAAGACAATTCTAGCAGCAGGACAGAAATAATGAGGCAAACAACCACAGCATCTGGCAAAACGACGTTCAGTGGCCACCTTGACCCTCCTAATGACAGCTCTCCAGCCCTCCTACTCACAAGCATGCTTGCCATGGGAAGTGCTGACCACTGCCACACAGCCCCGGGTCCTTGACCACGTCTGGCTAAAGCAGCTCTGCCGCAGAAACTCTGGACAC